TTTGATGCGTGTATCGAGGTGCCGGTTTGCGAGTATTGGGTGCAGCTTCCCTGCTCGTGCTTTGCCCTTTTCCGCTACCTTGGACATGTGTGCATTCCACGAGCAGTCTTTTGCGATCTCTACTCCGAGGTATGTGTACTGGTCCACTACTGCAATCTCCTCGATCCCCCACGTCCACCAATGCTCTACTGGTTCCTCCTTGTTCTCGTTCCATACCATGACGGCACTCTTCTGNCGTATGGAGGTGCCGGTTTGCAAGTATTGGGTGCAGCTTCCCTGCTCGTGCTTTGCCCTTTTCCGCTACCTTGGACATGTGTGCATTCCACGAGCAGTCTTTTGCGATCTCTACTCCGAGGTATGTGTACTGGTCCACTACTGCAATCTCCTCGATCCCCCACTTCCATCTATGTTCTACTGGTTCCTCCTTGTTCTCGTTGCATACCNCCACTTGTCAGTAAACTTCTTCGCCGCGTCAATTTGCAGTTGCAGTCCCTCAGGGGTGTCCGACATACCGACAAAATCATCCGCAAACGGCATTCCTGACACCGACGTTTCCGTGTCCCCTATTTTTACTCCCTTCCGGACTGCATCTATCTACGACTTCCAACAGATCGTTGATGAACACCTGGAACGATGTTGGGGACAGCGTGCAACCTTGTGGGACCCCCTGCTCAATGTCGAAGAATTTAGACATTTCTCCGTCTAGCATGACAGCGCTTGTCGTACACTCTGTCATCTTCTTCGGCACTCTCCACATTTTCCCCTTGATCCCGTATTTGGACAGTTGTTTCCACAGCCCATTTTTCCAGACGGTGTCGTATGCCTTTTTCACGTCCAGGAAGAAGCAGTACGCCGGCTTTCCCGCCCTCTTTCTACCTTGGATGATTGGGGGGGCGGGGGCGGGGGGGCGAGTATTACGTAGTTACATAGATTCTGTATCGCCATTGTTTCGCTTTCGCTTCAAACTTTAGGTACAATCAGCGTCTCACGGCACCACACACGCGCGGTTATATACTCGCAGGGAGTGTGAGGGCGAAAATAGTTCGTTGAGGTTGTTGGTTGCTGATTTTGTGGGAATGGTGTGTGTGGTGTTTGGTTGGTGACACTGATGGTGGCGCCCTTCCCTCCTTTCGACGCATTAAAAACAAACGTGATATTACGTTCTGTCCAGTACCGTACCTTCTCTTTCTACACACACAACACACGCTCTTCAGCGAAGCACGTTCTCGTTGTTCCAGTTAACATATGGAGTAAATGGCTATCTATTCCCGCAAGGATACAGAAAGGTACACGTGGATAGCGTATTGTGCCGGACTGGATGGATACGACATGTTGGAGGTGGAATCCCCCATTATTTTTTGCACCACTTCTTCCCCGATGAGGAGTACAATATATCGATGTTTCTAGACTTTGTATTGAGGATGTGGTGGGATAAAACCGCCTTTTGCTTGACTGTTTCCGAACAGGACGTACCTCTTTCTTTCAGGGGTTAGCTCAGTATCATCACCTGGTGGAGTAGGTTTGGCATGATGACCGCGGTACAAAACCGGTGGCGAAACGTCTACACCCACCCCAGCGGCGAGCGAGAGACGTGATCTTTATCTAGGAAACAGCGCAAGGCTGTGAGCGCACACTGGACACCGCTCGAAGGCCCACCACAGAACGCGGCGCAACCTCTTTCCTTTGCGCGAGAGGTTGGTTTCTTACTTCTAGCAAGTGGGATACCCACGGCGACCAATAGGGCAAGTAAGTTGATTTGACCCAGCCAGGCTCAACCTGGGATGATTAGTCTAGACTATTGTTGAGTCAACTTTTATCCATAACTTGGACTGGTTGAGAAGCAAAATAGATCGGACGGCGATTTCTTATTTGTCAAGACGGCGACGACACCTGCTGTAGTCTACAGCAGGCTAGCTACTATTATAGTCTAGACGACAGATTGCGCCTGCACTTAAGAACTTTACAGATAAGAAATTGAGACTCGAAAAAAAATCAGAATCTAAGAACTTGAGCACCATTTGTGAGCTCGGTTAAGAACCCTAGACCCTAGACTAAAACCTATATATAGCGGCCATTTGTAGCCCACAAGAAGAGGATGATCAGATGATCAGCAAAATAAGAACCCCAGCTTCGACCGAAACTAGAGGTTCTTAAGTGCGGGCGCCATCTGTACACATTGTCTAGACTACTACGTGCCGCATCGCACACCACGACGACATCAATTCAACGTAGTCTAACTACCTACTCCGTCGTGTTAATTTAGGTCAGAGGATCTTGGGTGCATGTAATAATACCTGTTGAACGCGATCCAGACAAGTTCATTAAAATAATTTCACGCCACAAAAGGAGGATCCGACACACTACGGTGATTGCGGACTGGCGTTGGGATTTCATCTTCGAAGTTGCGAGGAAGTTCGAGATGAGATCAAAATTTAAATTTGATTTCGAAAACCGCTTGCGAAGATGCGAGTGGAATGTTTGTGGTCTTGATCACGCAGAAATTTCCAGGAACGCAGCCCCCTTTTCGGCTCTTTTCGGCAGCAGACTTGGTCCCGCTCGGCACAACCTACATCAGACCTTCCGCCTCCACCCCCACCGCAAGGCTACCACCACATTACACTCACAACCGCTGCTGAACAATCATGGACAACGATGGAGGTCAACGTACTCATGAGAAGGCTGGCCCGGTTCAGTTGCCGGGTGTTCATGGCAACACGAGTCTTCCGGTGAGGGCCGCTCCCCTCGCCAGAGTTTCGGTGAACACCGAAGGCCAAGGACCTCCTCCTCCTTCTACCACTGGTTAGACTAGTGATACGCGTCGCAGTCATCACCGGAGTCGATCGTCCGCGACAGACGCATCACCGGAGCATGGTCCACAGGACGCACGCGCAGCAGCTCCTCACGCTCCCACGCCGCTTGAAGCATCACTAACTCCATCACCTCCGCCTCCGCCTGTGCAGGACTCCCAAGATCTATGCCGCTCGCAGCATCGCCGTCATCCTCGTCACGCCGACTTGGTGTATCACTAAAGAGCATGTAGAACAACGGTATGCTGCGGTTCAAATGGCGCAAATGCACCATATCGGCAGCATGCATTGCACCGGGTCTGGCGTGCAGTGACGACTGTGTAACTGTCTTGCGGTACTGTAGCTGGTTCGCCATGGTAGTGTGTATCACGGCCGAGGTGAGGGTGAATAGCTAGCCTCACGGGCTGGTGCGGCATGTGTCCGGACAACGTCGGGAGTAACTCGGGGAGTATTGTTGTTGTTGTCTTCACATTAAAACTCGGGGAGTATAGGCCAACCAGAAACTGTTCCCAAAACGATAGATGCGAGCAAGATGGAATTTGATCTTTTCTGCAGTGTTTGAGGTCAATTCGAAAAATCGAAAGATCGAATTCCTAGAGATCCAGCGGTCTTCGTACTGACGCCTTTCTAAAGAAAGATCACCGCACTTCTGATTGGCCGAAACTGAACAAGTACCGGTGGTGAGGATGTGAGGATCTACCCATCACCGCGCGCTCCCACACTAAATTACAACCATTGTTCGCCCCTCGCCCCAAGTTTCGGCGGCACGCTGCGCTTCCTCCGCAGCTTGCACCCCAGCGCCCACCAGGCTCAAAGCACAGGGGGGAGACACAGGAGAAGGGACACCGGACCAATCATGGCCGATGGCCCACCCACTTCGATCGATATCGATGGATCTAGCAGCCGTGGCGCCGGTGGTCCACCTTCCTAGATTTGACGTCGGAGGAGGCACCGGATCGTCCAGCTATTGGGAGCAACGGTTTGGGGATGGATACTTCGATCCGTCAAGCTTCATCCCGAGCTACACAACCACGGACAAGGGTAAGGTATAGAGCAATATGGAGGGCACGGGGAGGGCACAGAGTTGCTTGGGAGGCTAGGCAAGGAATCTGTGTTGGAGCGGTGTTCCTCGCAGCGCGGCGAATTTCCGAAAAAACCGTTCCGATTTTTGCTGCAGTTCGTGTCTCGTTGTGTAAATCTCGTTCTGTGTCTCTCGTGCGCGTTCTTCGACAGGTGTCCTACTGCTGTACATAAGAAAAAGGAGAAAAGGGAAAGTTTTTTGACTTTTGGTCCGCAGCACACCACGTTACATACCACACCTCACACTCACCGTGTCAGCCTTCATGCTCTCGAAAATACCGTGGGCTCGCTCGATTCCTCCAGCTCACCTCGACCCTCTCGCTCTGGCAGGGTGCAGGCACGACCAACCTCACTTGCACATCAACATATCACTGTAAAGACTTCAACACATCCCCTTCGAGTGTAGTTATACCTCGAACGGGTAGTCTTTCTGTGTGTATATTTGTTTCTCCTAATATCAAAAAGTATTGTTCGCACAAGAACCGGAATGGTTGTTCCGTGAACCAACTGCTCTGAACTTCTTCTCCCCTACAAATATTTGCGCACTGCACTGACTGCAGAGAGACTTATTTGCACATGGCGTCTTGCCGACAGCGGGAGAGGTATCCACTACCTCGGTTCTCGCATACCATATGTATGGTCGTGTTCGTGTGCTGAAGTAGCTAAGTGTTCGTCGTTCTTGTAGATGCGTTACGTGGGTACCGTTTTCGATTCTTTTCAACAAACAGCAGCAGCCCCGCTTTGGTCGAGCACGCGTTGTAGATGCAAGATCAACAAAGCAAAAAACACGACGGCGAAATAATTTTTTTGTCTACCCGATTTATTGCCGATGCAACAACTGCTGCTGTGTCGTTGCGGTGCTGTGTCATGCAGTCTTGGCGATCTTCAGGCTCGCCGTCGGGACCATTCTCGTGGTGCTCGGATCCTACCCGCTGGTGCGATTCTACCGGTCGAGATGGATATTGGATATTCGCACAAGGTGAAGGAAGAAGAACGGGTGGTGGTGTGACCTTTAAGGCAGCAGTAACCACCACACACAGCAGATTACGACATATTTATATAGTAATTTGACGTTGTTTTACCCCGAAAATCTCGGAAATGAACCAGCGTTGTTTGTGTCTAGAGTTTCGAGTTCTTCTGCATTGCATGTGGATGGAAGAGGGCGTCGTTCAGTTCTTCGTGTACTGGGTGAGGCATCGGCTCTTCTTGCAACCATGGGGAGCGTTGTACCTGTCGACTAGAAGGACATTCGATTTCGTCGTGCTCGCAGGAACTCCTCTTGTAGACTACTGGTAAACGTTTTCGTTCCCCACATTCTCGAGGTTTGCATGACTCCCTGTGGCGTACAACACGCGACTCAGCCCAGCCCGGTTGCAGACCTGGAACCTGTCCAGGTGTTGGTATCTTACTGTAGTCGATGTATAGACACATACGTCGATCGAATAATTCGCGTGAATTGGGAGGAGGAAAAGCTCGTGTCTGTTTTTTTCTGAAGATCGACATCTTGCTTGATATATTTGTTGAAAGTTCAGAGGATTTCCAAAGTGCAGAAAGGACGTAACTTGCCATCTATTGGAGCTATTGGAGTATGCTCTGCATGTTCGAACCTACAGCGTGAGTTGGTACGGCGGTAAATATATTGTAATGAAATGCAGAGATGGACACATCCGATACTACTCCAAGGTAAGGCAAACGTTTCGTTGGCAAGCACTGCGTACCACGCCTTGGATAATACCCTATTAGGCAGGCTATTGGTCGTCACAATAGGTATCACAGCAGCCTATCAACGCCTATTAGATAACACAATAGGTATTTGCAGTTCCTGCCGCTATGTTGTGGTCGATTCAATAGGTGCTGGAGTGTGTCGTCCTAACATGTCGATGATTTTAATAGGTGCTGCGCTATCATATCGGCACGAAGCTGCTTTTTAGCAGGAATTGGCTCATCATATTGATCGTTGTTGAACATAGCGATAGGTTTTGGAGGAAAGCATTAATACCTGCTGGGCATTTCAACAGGGCGGTATTGAAATCTGGATACCTGTTACCACGGCTAATATGGAGGCGGACAACATATCAATACCTGTTGCAACGGACAACATGAAGGTGGACAACATATTGATACTTGGCCAACACCAAGGTGGACAACGTATTAATACCTGTTACAACGGGCAACATGAAGGTGGACAACCTATCGAGACTTGTTGAGGGTTTCGCTCACGCGCACTATTTAGCATATAAACCAATCGGTACAACAGAAGTTGTTTCAATTGTTTTCGGTAGCTTTTTGCACAGGCCGCTTCGGATCACTACTCAGCGCGACCTTTGAAGCCAGACTTACAGCAAGCACATCAGAACGCTCTCTATCCCCAGGTTCATCCCGAGGCCGGACTCGTATCTTGTTGCAAGATGCACATGGAACCTTCAACACACAAACTGCCTCTCCCGCCGACAAGTTGACGTGGTTCGGAACGCGGGTGGTGCGGATGTTCCCACAACCTCTGGCAGATCCCAAAAAAAACAATGGACAATCCCTCGTATCCTGAGTTGGTATGTTTTCCGGCCACGACGACCGCTGCCGCCAAACCAATTATTTTCTCTCTCTTGTCCCAAAAACATTTGTCGACCGTGACCGAAACCATCACGCCAGAGCACAACAAGACGTTGGTGGCCCGAAAAGACATTGGTCGCGCCTGGGCGACCACTCTCCTCTAGACCGACTTCTCTTCTCCAGACAACTAGACGTGGCTTTCGTCCTCTGCACTCTCTCCTCCACCCTCTTCCATGTCCCCAACGCGCGCCGGGTCCTTCAATGACCACAGTTCATCGTTGTCGTCGGGGTCGTCGCTGGTCTCCTCGACGTCCACATCCAGCACGCGTACCGCTTCCAGTAGCTTCTCGTCCCTCAAACGATTCGGGATGGCCGCCGTTTGTTCTGCCTCATTGGCGAACTTGGGGACGTCGTCCGGAATGAAGTCGTACTGCGCTCGCAGGAAGAGAGACATCTCGAAGTACGCTGGGTCGACCGAGGCGCGTTTGCGAGGCATGAACATGTCGGCGATTGAGAAATCTCGCTACATGGCACCCGTTGAGGCCGGGCAACCGAGGACGCCCTGCGCAACTGCTCGGAGTGGTAGCGGCTGTGATTTCCCGTGAGGGGTGCTCCAGTAGTCCGCGGCGTCCTTCCCCCTTTTGTCTGAGGGGATCTGTTGATCGATGCGCGACGAACAAAGGCAAAAGACATTGTAGAAGGGAAAGGTACTGAAGGTCGGCATCGAGTGCACGAAAATATTGATTAAATTTTTATGGGGGCAAGACCGCAGAGCAACGAAAAAAGACCTACATACGTCCAAGAGCAAAACTTTATAATTTACGTTGCAAATGAAGAGCTGAAGCCCACGTCCGATACTCGGAGGTGACCATAGCGTCCGACCAACACTCTCAACGGGCGCTACGGCTGAAAAAATAACTATCAACGGGCACAACTTTGCCCCAATGTGTCCCAATACCTTTAGGTTCAGCCACTCCTTGAGGATGCTCTTCGCTTCTTCCTCAGGTGAACGCTCGTAGAGACTCGAGCTCTCTTCTTCCTCGCCTTCGCTGTCATCAAACCCGACGTCGTCGTCGGCGGCGCGGGTTGCCGCAGGTACGGTTCTAGACCGCGGCCCCGTCACCTCTTCGTCGCTCGTCGGCACCGGTTCCCTTGCCCTATGCTCGACGACGGCCTGTTCGAGGAGTTCGAGAACTTCCTCCTGGATCCGCTCCTTGATGTCTGTGAAAGTCGCCAGGGTCCCGCACGACCCGGAGTACGACGTGGCGGCCGTCGACTTCAGCAGCAACTCGATGTACCGCATTTTGCGGGTCCGAGGGTTCAGAAGGGGGGCGTGGTCGAACAGATGAGTACGTCTATTCAACTCAGAACTCTTGTAGCGCGGCAAAAACCTTTTCGCGAGCGCCGTGGCGAAGACCTCACGAGTTGTCCTGCCGGTCTCGGTAAGGTCCTCATGAGGCCGATCCGTGTGCGGCGGATCGGGGGCGTCCGCACCGATGGCCTCGACGTGGTGAACGCGGAGGGGCTTGCTCGGCTCGAGTGTGGAGATGAGGAGCTGGACGGTCTGCCTCAGCCCACCTTCCATGGTTGCCTCGTACGTCTTCTGGCAGTATTCAGTGACAGTCTTGACAGCCCTCAAGATGCTGTATACCTCCTCAATCTAGAGCAAGCAACCAGCGCCGCGAAAAACAAGGTATCAAAACGTAGTGGTCGTTGCAAGTTCACGCGGGAGATCGGGTGCAAATATTTGAAAAACATGTACACAAGAGTCTTTGTGACAATCCACAACATGTTTGCTGCTAGCAGCACACCGGTACTTAACTCATTCACATGAATCGGTGACGATCGGATCCAGCGATTTCAGTTTGCGGAAAAGCGTTTGTCACGGCAAATAAACACGCACGTATGATACACGAGCTATACAGAACATATCAATGCAGAGTGCCAACATTTGCGTAGGACCGGCAAGGGAGGAAAGTGGTACCATTTTAAAACCGAGACCGTCATCGCAACGGTTCGTACTGTAGTTTCCTAGTCGCATTAGAACGTATCCGTGCTTATTTCCAACTAACCGAGGCAACGGGCAACGGCACACCAGCAGCAACGTTTGGTACATTGTGCAAGAATGAAGAAGTTCTCCCTGGGGAAACGAAGTCAGCGTAGAGCACCAGCCTACCTCGGTTTTGTAGTTGGCCAGCGGAAACACCTTGCCCTTCTCGACGAAGCACTTCTGGATGGCCGTGAATTGCTCGAGAATGCGGAACATCATCTTGGCTGTGCTGACCCAGCGCTGGACGACGGCTTGAGCGAGCTTGGCATGGTTCCAGTTGCCCTCGGACAGCTCCTCCAGCTCGTCGTCGAGCAAGATCTGCACAACCCGAGGGTACAACAGCGGAAGGGCGAAGTCCCAACGGGTGAGAAAGGTGCAAACAAGTGACTGCACGCACCGCGTCACTTGCGACCATGTCAAAAGTCCTCGTCAGCGGAGAGAAGCCAAGCAAATGCCATTGGAATAAGTACAATTGAGGAGAATCAAAACAAAACGACAGCGAGGATAATACGGGAGTGAGCCTTCCTCCCGAATTGCACAAGATAATTCTTTTGTTCGTTTTTTTCACACGTAGCCCACAAAAGATGGGGAGCTCGTGGTCTCAAATCCCGGCATACACGACCCCACGAACGAAACAAAAAAAAAAGGGTACAAAAACCACTCGGAAGAAAAAAGAAAATGATAGAAAGCAAGAGCAGCAATCGCAACAAGCGAGAAAGAGCCTCGAGAAGACCGATCAAAATAAAATACAAGGAGAACGCTTCCCACACCCGCCTACAACGCCGGACGGTTCCGTGCCGGGTTCCCGCCGACCAGGCATTGTGTGGTGGGAGGAAAACATATACGACGTCAACATACTGTCATTACGTTGATCCCGAATAACGGGGCATGGGTGTGGACCTTCTGGTCTTCATACCTTGTCGCCTGAAGACCTGTTGAAGTGCTGGATGATCTTCTTCATCTTCTCCAGCAGATCGCGGCACAGATGGTTCTTCGAGGAGGCGGGCGAGTTCGACATGCCAGTACCGTCGATGGTGACGCGGTTGATCATGTGGGGGATGCACCACTCGCGGCGAAAAGCCTTCGCAATGCCCGTGGAGACATCGGACCCAGAGTCCGACACGGCGCCGGCGAAGTTCTCGTTTCGAAGACCATGTTGGCCGAGGACTTGCGCGTTCCACTTCAACACCACCCGGCCGGTGATCTTCCCGTCGTCCATCCCGACCCCCGGCTTTGGTCTGAACAGCTTGACGCCCAGCATGAACGACTTGATGACCATGTTCTCGTTCATGTAGCACACGCGTACACCTGTCCCGAATTCAAGGTAAGATAACACGGAGTGGAAAGTTTGTTGTGTGAGTTCGCGCGGCAAACTCGGCGAGGACTAACATAGTACACGGTTAGCGAATGTTAGAATGGGCGTATCGTGTCATCCATTTACGTACGGCGAACCATCAATGTAAGTTTCGACCAATATTGGTACGCCTGTGATCAGATTGTGGATCTGTGCACCAGGAGCTGCAAAACAAACATAATCACGGACGCATGTGATACGAAACGCGAAATACGGTAGAGGTAGCTCGACAAAGACTCTAGTACACCACATGGACAGCTACGCGCCGGCTACCGGAAGGGGACGGGCGTCGTTTATCTCGGGAAATATTTTGCATCGCTCCAATTGACTGCACGCGCGTGATCTTGTACCCAACGAAAACGAAGCATGTCGTGCACATCAATCGAAACGTACTACAATTGTACCAACCAATGATTCACTTTGGGCATCCTGCTGATGGACGCTGTTGTCGTAGGCTTCGTAATACACACATGCCAATACATTGCCGCCACTAAAAGTATTTTTTTAAGTAGATGTCTCGGTGTGTCGGATGATCCAGCGTAAATGTTGCCCCAAGATTAAACAGATCCAAAGACGGAAAGGTTTCGCACATTTATACCGCAACATTGTATAGGACCATTCCTCACAACGGTCTGCCCTCTCCACCCAACCTAAATCATTCGGCAAACACAGGCAGCAACGGACAACCCCATGTGCGTGGGATGTACAACAGCGAAGATCGTTGCAATCCAACTACCAGAGAGATAATACGCTGTTGTGGCGTTGTGCAGTCGGTGCATGTTTTTCTCTTCGACATATATGTTGTTTTGCCCACGCGATTTTTGTATCTGTCTCGGGCAAGCATTTGTCGCGCCCCCCTCTCCTCACAACCCAATTTTGACATCCTACTGCTAATCTACATACTTTCGTATAGCCGTCCCTACTCACCGATGTACTTTTCTCCGGACACTCTGCTTGTCCACAGGTCACAGTTGAGGTACAAGATCGGGATGAGGGCGCGACGAACATCCTTCACTAGCTCCGAGTTGAACGCCCGCGTGGTGGCCGCGTACATCTCGACGATCATCTTCTTGATCTGCAACGTTGAGGGCGATGGTGCACCAATAGTCGAGCGGCGAATATCAACATCGTGGAAGGAATGATGGCCTGTGAGCAGCCCACACCGAAGAGGCAATATTCGGCGCTTCACGCGGGTCTAAATATTGTTTCTACACTACATATCCATCGTTCACCACTGGCTACTAGTGCACCCAAGGGTCGACATGAAAAATAATTCAAGACACATAGGCGTACAATGTACGAACCGAAAATCGGGGTCCGTCGAGGGGGGGGGGGGGAGGGGGGGCTCTAGTTTCCCTACAATCGTAAGGGTCACCGCGGATAGCAAACACTCTGTAGTAGGGGGGGGCGATGACTTCTTGTCGTGGTCGAAGCACCCTCAACGATGTTTCCTAACTTGAACATTATTGAAATCGAAATTGTTTGCCAGGGGGGGCTATGTGTCTGGATTTGTTTTCGCATAGGTATTAGGTATACCCTTCGTGTACCCAACGTGGTACCCAACACGTGTTGATCAATGATGTGCCAACAGTATTGTTCCTCCAACACATGCTGATCGATTACGCATCTAACCTATTGTACGACAAGCTAGGTATCGATTGCTTGCCGCCGCCATGTTGATGTCTTTGGTACGTGTTAGGTCGCAAAGTACGAAAATGCCTCTCAGAAGAAAATCATACCGACCAGGCGAAAAATAAACATGCTGTGGGAAACATAAGTCTCGGTAGTATCATCTGCACTCTTGCTATCGGTTCGATGTTCTATTGATGCGAAGCTACGTAAACCTATTGCTTCCGTGACAACCTATCGGTATTCATCGACCCAACGTACAAGGCCGCCGCAACAGGTATTATGTCTCGATTTTTGGGTCATGTTGCCGGGGTAATAGCCTGCCTAATAGGGTATTATCCAGGGCTAAAGGAGTTCTTCGATGGGTGGCACACAACAAATGGCCCTTTCCACTCTGCTGCTCAGCTCTGAACCGACACCAAACCACACGCGTCACAACTAGGTACTCGCCCCTCTTGCGTTGATGGCCGCGACATCGAGGTGGTCAGGACACATCGTCGCGAGACATCGCCTGACCCGGTCATGGTCCGCCAGGCTGAAGGCGCATCCGGCGTGTATGATGAACGCCTTGGTGAACTGAAGGCAGTTGTACCGTGACGGGTCGTCCTTGTACACTGCACTCTCGAGCGTCACTTCCTTTGACGCCGACTGATCACGCTTCCTGCGTTTGGAAAAGGATAGGCCAACCAAGCAACGAGGAGCTGCATTTATTAGTGGTTGATATATATCGCCCTCCAGACTTTTTCGTGTTTTTCTTCATCTAAAACAACAAGAGGACCAACGGAAAAAAAACACATGCAAGTCACGTCCCAACCAAACCAAGAAATGCATCACACAGCAGTATAAAAAAGGGAGCACACTCGTACGCATCGGCCTGGGACTCACCTCTTCGCAGTCTTCGCTGATGCCGCACCCACGATGCCATGCTTATCTTTGAGGTGCGACGTCGCTCCTGTTGTAGCGTCCGAAAAAATCTTCAGTCTCTTCCTCTCGTTTCGGCACTGGACGCTAGCGAGGCAAGCCCATTCCATCGGTCTGTGGCTCCCATGCACCCGAGGCAAGATTTCCAGCTTGACGCCGTAGAACGCAGTAATGGATCGCGTGGTCTTCCCGCTCTCGAGGGAGACAATCTCGCGCAGCGGAGGAGGTTGATAGCTGCTGATCGCCGTTTTGACCGCCTCAGGGACGTCCATGGGAAAGGTGATGCGGTCGGCCTGAGGATTGCGGCTGCGGCTGGCTGGAGGTCGTGCTGCACCAGCAGCAGATCCTGCTGCTGCGGCACTACTACTACCAGACATGAAGCTTTGTATCCCTTGCTGGCCAGAGCCACCACCTGGGGATGGTGCTGCTGCACCTGCTGCAGCAGCAGGCGCTGCAGCATTCCTTGGCGCTTCTTCTACAGCTGGCGTTGCGTTGCCGGTTGCACTCATGCCGATGAAAAAGTGTGTGTGGTGTGTGGGTGTTTGTTCGGTGTGCAACGGTATTTTTTCTTTAAAAAAAACAGGCAAGTAATACTTCCTGCCGCCCAATCAGATATATTAGGAAAAACATATTATCTCGGAAGGTGGCTGCTATGGAGTGGAAAGAGTCAGATCCAGGGCGGGCATCTTGCTACTTTCGGAACTTGGAATCTACCGTGCCGGCATCTTGCTACTTTCGGAACTTGGAATCTACCGGGCCGGCATTCCGAGAAAAATGTCGTTACCTATTTACAAACGCAACACTCCTGCCGAAATAGTCCCGACACCTACTATGAAATATAATATCTTCTGAAAAATTATTTCAGCACGTGCTGTCTTAGCAACATGATCGATAAAATCGTATTAGTACCTAGCGTGTACGAAGAATACCTTCGACGAATTCATTGGGATACCCCTCACCGGTACAACACCTTTTGTCCATCCATATCGGTAGGAATCGTAGAGAAGCAACACCACCTAGACAAACATGTCTGTAGACGCCTGGCCAAACAATATCCGGCGTGACCAACAACTCAAAACCTATTTCCCGCGACAACAAGTCCGAAAAGTATCTATTGATGCATGTTAGAGGCAGCAGCAGGTATCCTATTATGGTAGAATCCTACCGATATCCTGCTAATACCCATCCTATTATCCAGGGTGTGCTGCGTACATACGCAAAGCCCTCAAGAGAAAGTGGGGCACAACGAACAATGCATGCATGCTTGTATAGTCTACCCACCCAGGGGCAAAAGCTCCCAGAAGTTCTCCAACCACTTGCTTCGACGTATGTACGCATATTGAAAAGTGTTCGGAAACAAGCATTTGGTTACTTGTAGATGGCTAGAAAGAGCCCGTTGTTCTCCACTAGATAGGCGCTGAGTCGCAATCCAAACGTACTGCGCGCGGGTATCACTACGAAAAATGTCGTAGTACACCATCGCCGTCCACTCCCGCCCTTACGTGTCAGGGGGTGAGGAGTTTTCCATCCTTGTTTTTTTTTTCGCTGACTCGCGGGCGAGACGACCCTCCCCCCGATTTCCACTGTTTTCACTTTACCCACTTTTTCATTTATTATCCTGTGACCTGTGCGGAAGGAAGACGTCCATCAGTACGGAAATGCAGGGGTTTTTTTTTCATGTGAAGACAACAACAACAACAACAATCACAGCCCCACCGTCCGCACACGAGGCATTTGCACTGTCAATCCTACTTGATTTTCAAACGCTTCGCAAGCGATCTTTCGAAGCCCTTCCATGTCACGCGTCAACGGTCCCACGAACGCACAATGCAATGAATCCCCACAATTTCCACCGCCTAGCTCTCTCTCGCCCACTACTTAGCCTTCATGGTAACGGTACGTCCGATATAGGTTAGCCCGACAATATCCACCGCTGCCCGCTGTCTGTACCGACGTTCTGCGGTACAAGCGCCCCCTATAGACTCCCAGCCCCCCCCCTCTCGATATCGCAAGAAGATTTATGGCAACGGCGACGTAGCGCCACCCGCGGGTGAACTGTTTCATGTTTTTGTTTTCTTATGATCGCCCCTCCGTACCTCCTCCGTTACCTCCTCCGCAGGGTAGGTATGTATGCTCCCCAGGGCGATGGTTTTCAATGATCTCGACGACCGCCCCCGGGGCGACCGCAACAGAAACGATGGCCGCCTTCCCTGCAATAAGCTACTCTTGGTTGAAACGACCTATGCAGCCTAAAGGGTTGATATTTGGTTTGTCGCACAGCACTAGTCAGTCAGTCAACAGAGTGGAAGACGCTGGGGCATTGGGTGATAATAGTGTAAACAACTTGCAGTAGTGTGGTATCAGGGAGCGAGGCTGCGGTGTCCCGTTTGTCCTGCTCATCAACCATAATTTCACAGAACCAGGCTAGGCACCATTGAACTCCAGGTAGGCCTCTCTGTCTCCCAATCTTGGAAGTAAAGGAGCTCGCGGATAGGTTTCGCCGTTGCCCGTGCTTGCATCAACCATGGGTCCACGCCACGCCATGCATCTCTCTCAACGTTCGTGAGAGAGGACTGCTGCCGATTGATTTTTTTGTTTGGTATTCATAAGAGACCTTTGTCGTAAGCTGGAAGGTACAAAGGAGATATTTTTTTCCGTCTGAAAGTCTTAAAAGCAGAAACGATGAACAAGAGGTGGAGGCATACGGAAGATTGCGAGGGACCGCCTCCGACTCGAGAGTAGCGCACGAGCGGGGATGGTCAGTTGCACTGTTAGGGTGTTTTTTCTGTACTCGCCTGAACGATGAGAAAAAAAAAGGTATCCGTGAGCTCCATTGGGCCGGGGGGTGTAGTGTTGCATGGTGCGTTGAGATTGGAGCTGATTGCTCAAGTCATTCACGAGGAGGTTTCGCGGGCGTGATTCTTGTTCACACACTCATCATTCTCCTTGTGAGAAAAGCAGGGATGGAAGGTCCCCCCTGTTAGCGTGTTCGTTTTGTAACCAAAACGTAAGCAATTATTGGTTGGGTCGTAGGTCCAACCCCCCCGGTGTGACAGCTGTCTGTGCAGACAGCTCTTGCTCGTGACTATCCGTTGTGTACTTGGAAATTATTTTGAGGCAAGGAAGACTGCTGAACCCACCAATTTGCGACAGAGCTGAGGGCGTTCAACTGTGTCGGGGTGCTGCGAGAATAACTGTTTTAGGGTCCACAAGCCTGTTCTCGTTTAGGCACCGTATTCATGTTCTCCGCACTCCACGCAACGCACAAGTTCTCCTCCTGTGACGGATCGTAGGTTTCTGAACACGGGAAGCAGCAACATCACAAAAGGAACAGATAATCTGGTAGGAAGTGATCGCGAAAGCAACTCCGTGATGTTCAAGGTGACGAAACGATTGTCACACGTGAACCGACCCAAACGAACAAAAAATGTGCTTCGGAAGGTAGGCACTCGCGAACCAACGAGGACATGGATGCCTTCCACTTTGTTCATGTATGAAGCCATGCTTTACCTCTTTTGTTTCCATGCATCAAGCTCGTCTGAGTCCACGTCGCGGGGTGGCAGAGTGCGCGAGCTCTTGCTAGCAAGCAAGGTTGACATTCCATCGCGCACGTCGTCACTCCGGCGATGTGTGGCAAGGAACCCCGACCTCCCTAACGACGACGAACAACCGAGAAACAACACGGACAATGAAAAGCACCTCCCGCTCTTATTCTCCCTATCTGTTGATACATCCGCATCGCCCATACAAGCACATATTGCTCTGCCCAGGTCTGCGCATCTGGCCATGCTCGGGGGTGTGGCCGTGATCTTGTGGATGTTGACCGCCGTGAACGGTGCCCTCAACATCGTCTGGGACAGCGGGCTCGACTGGTTCTGGATATCTCTGCTGCTGTTCTTCGTCTCGCCCGCGCTGTTCGGGAGCTGTATCTGCCGCGCGCTCCGCCTGGCTGTGGTTTTCCACTCGAGGGCGAAGCGTGCCCTGCCGTGGCTCATCCCGGTACGTTACAGTCCAATTGGTGGATGGATTGAGTGCTTCTTTTGTCTATTGGTTCGGTTGTCGTCTGAGAAAAGGAGCTGGGAGCATGCCAACGTATGTGTGTGTGCGTGTTTCCCTTGCTCTTCTCTTTCCGTGATTTTATCATTGTGTGTTTTGCACAGCTGAGTTTGCGATTGCGCGGCAAAGTTTAGCGCTCGGAAATTCCTTAGTCGAACCACGTTCCGATAACTCATTGGGCGTGGGCAGCAGATGCCCACACAAGAATAATACCCCCCCTTTCGCCACGTCTTCACCTCACGTGAACCGCTTCTATTTCCTGCTCTCCTTGTTATTTTGTGTCTCAAAATGCGCCCATGTGTTCTGTCCTCTCGGACGACAGCAACGCAATTACGTGGCGGTGCTGATGGTCGCAAGCTGTGGAATGCTGGCAATCCCCCTCTACCACGAGTACACCTTGGAAGTTTGGTGAGACATTGTATGACATGTACGAAGTATAGTAGTTCAGAGACGACAACATACCAAGCCCGTCATGCTGCCGCAGATGATTATTGCGCACGTACCATGAGTGGGGTTCTTACTCCGTACCCTACGCAGCTCCAAGAGGTTGCACATTACGGTAGGTTCCTTTTTTACTTGTACAAGCCTAAGCCTGTGGCGTAAACAGGCACCGCAAACACCTCTACGGTCTTGCTCGGTCGCGTGATGCGGCGTGATTACGGCAACGTCTCCCCATGGTTGGTGCCTTGACGGTTTCAGCCTTCGAGATACACGGCAACTATTGGTTGTCTGTTGTCAGTCGTCGGGGCTTTTCGCGACCCAAGTAACGATCGAAGGTTGTCCTTTCAGTCGTCGTCTCGGTGTTTGTTCCATCGTGGGTGATGCGCAAGTCTGCGTGGTAGACTCCCAGGAGGACCGACTCTCGGTCGGTGCTATGCGGGTATCATTCACCACCCGTCTGTTTATTGGTGTTGGGGGCGCACCATGCATGGAATTGTTTCTCCCATCAACGATCTGCTGCTGCTGCTGCTGCTGCCGCTTTTATTTTTGCCTTTATGCTTTCTCCCACCCTCTCCTGTACACACCCAGGGAGATAATTCCGTAACAGACGGATATCCTGATATGGGAGTCGATCGCGTTTGCGGTCGTGCAAGCATGCATTTACCCGTTCATCAGGAACGTTGACGATCTCTTCAGCATCAGCAAGGAGCTAGCCATCGTCACCGCGGCCACCATACTGCTCGCAGGTGAGGCCCCACGGACGCGGACGAGCACACCCCAGTCCACGATGACGATGATTTTTTCACGCACCACGTCGTTACTTCTGGGGCTATACCACCCCCCGCGTGATAATTCTGTGTGCCCCTCGTTCTTTATCTGTTGTGTCTTGATGTCTCGCTTGCGAGACGTAGCCCTAAACACAACGCTGCTCTCAGAGGTCGCGTCTGAAATGCTTCAGCAGCTGTTGGGGAATGAATCAGGTGGACCAAGAATGCCCGACTCAGCTGCTGCGCTCGCTCCCTTGGATGAATACCAATACCCCGCGGTCGGTGCTTCTTCACGCGCGAGTGCTCTGACGTCGCGGTTTGCGAGAACGCCAACGACCCTCCACCCCTCCGTGCTGAACCCCCCCCCGCCCGTGGGAACGCCGTCGCCCCCTTCCCCCTTGCACGCGGCCCTTGTTCTCGACGCTCTCGCCGCACCGCCAGTCGGTCAGAAGCTCGAGGGAGACTGTGGAGGGGTCAACGAGAGAAGATGGCTGGGAAACAACCTCTTCCTCTTCTTCGCAGCCGTCGTCTTCAGCGTCGAGTGCGGTACAACATACGTAGGTCTGTCCTATGACGGCGTCTTTGGGGTTGAGGTTATCGTCCTCCTCTTGTCGCTTTTTTCGGGCATATTGGTCCAGCCCACCCACCAACGGGGGTACCGAGAACTTGTGCCGACCGAGTCGTTTGAGCGGTTGGCTGGGTGATCTGACTTGAAGCGTCCGTTGGAACCGCCTGGGTTTTTTTTCCGGAACACAGAGTGCGGACCCTTGACGGGATACACTCGGATTTGGTGGTAGTTGCAAATTCATTCCGCCCCCGAGCGGAACGGCGAAGGTGGCGGCCCGGCATGAGGGCTGATTTTTTGTTCTTATGGCCTCTTATCCTGTACGGTAGTGTAATAGCGATACCCCCTGGACAATTATGGCACGTATGCCTACGAACAACGAACTCCCGCACGGCGGTGATGTCAACTCGTCAACCAATGTGCAGTGTCCTGGATCCGCTGCGCCGCCTAGCGTTCGACCCTTTGGCGGCAACCAAGCGCAACTACGCCGATCGGGTGCTACTCAGCCTCGCGCCCGACAGGTTAGCGACAGAGTACAAGAGGCTAGGAGAGCCAAAGTAGATAGCAAGAAGCGAGGAGGCATGCACGCAACGCGCGCCACCCCTGCGTGGCTTGGTTTTCTCGTTTGGTGTTGCGTGGCACGGACCTCAAGGCGGTTGTTTGGGTGCACGGCCGAGCCGGCCTGTTGTCTTTGAATGTTTTTCCCTCTGATGTTTTTTTTTTCGTGTTCTGCACATCCCTTTGCCTATCTCGCATTATGTACAGATGTGCCCTTGACGTCTTGTCGCAACCATATCCTCCTGTCTTGTACTTACAATCAGAGCTGTCCGTAGTTCTGTCAGTGGGTGGGCAGAAGGGTAAGGCACTCACACCCACCAGTCAGGGAGAGCAGAGTCTTCGAAGCCTTGGCAAGAGAATGAGGCGTGTGCGAGGGGACCAACGGAAAAAAGAGGATGTTGTGCAGCAAAAGGAAGGGATGGCATGTACAGGACACAGAGAGCCGTGGCTTACATGAGCGGCGAAACAATAGCGAGACGATCGAGACACCAGGAGGGTAGACGTAGGCTACGATCTAAGGGAGGGATCGAGTCGCAATAATACTCTTCGTCGTTGGCAACATGACCAGGTTGCACAAACAGATGTGGTCGTCTCAAAGTAGTGCCGATATGTGCCCACTGTTTAAGATTCATCGGCACTATACCGGGCCCCGGGCTCTATCCAGAGAACTACCACAACTTGAATGTTCCACCCGTGTCACAAGACTTCACTGACACCGTGCTTGGCGGTGACGGAACTACTGAGGGACCCTCACTCCACAACGTTACCGGATGATGGGGCTTTTGTCCGTCGTGCTACAGAACAGTTCTTGGCGCCTCGAGAGAGATGGGTGGCCAACCACCGAACATGTTCAACGGCAAGTAAGGCATTGAGCGCATCCCCACCCCCCCCCACCCCCGCCGTCAATCGAAACGCGAAACAGCTCGGCGACGAAGACAGCGTCGTGGATGTCGACAGGAATAGACGACGACGACAGCGACGACGAAGAAGCGATGCTCGAGGAAGGGGCGCCCAGAGGAAACGGTCGCAAGAACCCGGCAATAGTACCAGCAGATGATGACACTGGCATGGCGGCCGTTACCGGCGACGACGACGGTGCGACTGCCGCCGCGGCGGGCGCCGCGGCCGGGGCCGCTCCTGCCCGTGGGTTGGCGCGTGGAATATCGTCCTTGTCCAGCCACAGTACGGGCGGCAACAGGCGTGATGCATTGCAGAGGGGGCAGAGGAACAGCACCTGCGGCCACGGTGGTGGCAGTGGCGGCGGTGGCGGTGGCGGTGGCGGCGGTCAAGGCCGCGGGGTGATGGAGGTGTGGAGCTTCGAGCGTCTTGCGAGGACGCCCCTGCTGGCGGTCGCGTTCGAGGATTACTCCAAGAGGGCGCTTTGCCACGAGTCGGTGCTCTTTCTGAGCGAGGTTTCTTGGTGAGTAGAAGGCCCGGGGGGGAGAGGCAGATAAGATGAGCGGGCGTTGATACGCCAAGCGGGAAGAAGAGGACCTTCTTTTCCGTACGAAATTGCACAGAAGTTTCTCCGGTGGCAGTCAGCCTCACCGAGCACCTTGATACACGTGCATAGTGACTGTGCACACCCCGACGCTTTTCAACCAGTCGTGCGGAGAGGCACGCACGACGGCGGCCCTTTTTGTCCCTTCCGGCACGGAGGGTAGGTTTGTGCGTTCCAACTGAGTACGGGCCACCTCTGTTGCTTCAATGCCGCTCCTTCTTGAAGCCGAAACTGCGAGAAAGGGTTCCGAGGGTCCCGAAAATCTCTTGCCATCTCCGGATTGGTTTGTCACCCCTGCTTCGTGGCAGCATTCGATGATGGAGCCAACGCAAATACTGCGTTCCTATGCAACAAACACGTCAAGGTGGAGGCAAATGGTTGAACTCAACGTACAAGCTTACTCTCGCCGAAATCGTGTCCCATACCCTTGTTTCCCCCTCTTTCCCGCGTCAGGTATCAGAACGACGACTACGCTACGCAGACAAGAGCATCTTCGGGGTCATCGTGTCCGACTCAGTTTGGCACGTTGTGCTACATCACGGACACCTTCACCAAGGCCGGCTCGCCCGAGGAAGTGAACACCAGGTAAGCTGCGGTAGGGAACGATGAGCACCGCTCAAAAATGCAGTGGTCGATGTTCATGTTCGCCTTCTCCACTCTCGAACACCACCACACCTTCATCTGGTCGGACGTGATGCCTGTGTGACGGCGGCGAATGAATTCAAGCCATGGTGGAATTTGTTTTTTAGGAGGGCGTTGTCGGGACTCGACGAGAAGGTTGGGTGAAGCTTGATCCTGGAGTGCATCCGGGCTAGTGCTCTGTGATGGGTACACTTTGCACGTCTCGTTCTGTTGATTGATCTCCCGCAGCACGGGCACTATACGTCTTCTGCGCCATGGTACCAGAATGTTTTCAAGAACGACCCTGGTTCAAATTCAAACCGCGACGCTTTTCACGCACGCGTTTGTGTGCGCACGGTCGGTTCGTTCGTGCCGACTCGAACGAAAACTCCTAGAAACGATGCGTGAGGAAGGGTTGCTGCATCTCTGTAGGGCTCTTCCGATGCTGGTTGTGCTGCTTCCTGCCGTTGTCAAAGATGAACTCTTTTGCGTTTGTTTGCGTTTCCGTGCTTGTCGTTGCGTGTCGCTCTCGTGCTTCACTCAGCGACGCCGACAAGAAGGCCATATTCGAGGTGTACCACAAGGGCTTCGGGGGTGTCAACTAGGAGGACAGAAGGTGAGCGAACGACACGATATAGCGGTCGTTGCTAACCACGTATCTACCTGTACACGACCGATCGCGCCCGCCCTGGTAAGAGTTGGTGGTAATCCCGTGGGTGTGTATACGTGCTAAAAAGGATGCGTGTTGCGTTGTTGATTCCCTCCGCTTAATGTAGTTTTGTAGCGACGTGTTCCCTGCACTTGTTGATCTCCTGCACGGGGAGGGAGAATCGCTCCCAACGATTGCGACGAATCCCTTAAGCCGTGCGTACGAGATGTGTCGTTTATGGATGCGGACCCTACAGCAGCTGGTGGTGCCGCCAGCCGGCCCATGCATGCAAATCAACGTGTGATTCTCCTCGACGGGGACGTGTGCTGGCTGTACAAAAGTAGGCAAGGAGAGAAACAATGAATTCCCCCCCCCCCCGGGTTCAGTTCCTTTTGGCGTGAAACGCGTAGTGATGTGCAAAGAGCGCTAGAAAGGGTGTTCACGGTGTCTCTTCACCAGAATGGCGCTTCTTCCTTCCGGGTGGGCAGTGTTGAATCAGTCAACTCAGGCGGACGAATGACTCATGAGTACCGCACCCCCACGACTTTTACTTCCCGTCAACGCACAATCTTTGGCTCTCAGAATGATTTTTCACTGGCGTACCTGAAGGTGAAGAGCATGCTGGAAGCAAACCTACTCCGCCGCTTCCTCAACACGGACCGCTTCAAGAGCGTGAGGATGCAGAGGGAGAACGTCCAGGCCATGATGGACTCCCCGCCCGTGCTGCCGGCAGGGGTAGGAGCTGTTTAGGCGTCCGGACACATGGGTATTCTGGCACGGATGTGATTCAGGAGCAGGAGCCGGGTTCTTGCAGATACGATAGATGTATCATCCGAATTCACACACTCATTTCCTCCTTTCATGAGGTTTGTCGGGGAGTATGCATCGGTACGGTAGCTCTAAAGTGCAACATTGAAGCGCGAGATGGTATTTCGCCGGGTGGTTCATGGCATTGAACGTGATGCTGCACTCTACAGAGAGGCCTTGATCCCCTTCCCCCCAATGAGGCGGTCGATGGGAGTAGCACCTGCCGCCGAATTTTTCTAGATGGGAGCTTGAGGTGGCAGGGGGTGGCGAGTGAGTTTCTCCATCTTGTGCTTGGAAACGCTGCTGGTCGACCTCGACACCAGTTTCAGTTTCCCTGGAGCCGCTTCAGGCGCCCCGAGAGTCACTTCACAACTGAAACACGCACAAGTGTGGGGTGGGGTCATGGGGGGATCGCTGTTTCAAGCTGAGTTGAGTCCTCCCCCTTGCTCGCGAAGTGAGATCCCAAGAGAGAGAGAGAGAGAGAGAGAGAGAGAGAGAGAGAGAGANAGAGAGAGAGAGAGAGAGAGAGAGAGAGAGGGAGAGAGAGAGAGAGAATGAGAAAGAATGAGAACGAATGAGAACGAATGAGAGAATGAGAACGAATGAGAACGAATGAGAGAACGCGGAGAGAGAGGCACACGCACGGAGACGTACCGCATCTTGAAGCTGGACTGGAAGGGAGGGCCAGGCGGACTACTTGTGTGGTGTACCCAGTAGGCATCTGGACGGGTGTTGTTGTTAGAAACGAGTTAGTTGGTTTGTTCGAAGTTCTTCCCAGCTCTTCGCGGGGCATTGCTCTCGGTCTGAGGCGAATGTACAGAAACTCAATACGCTCTTCACGGTGAGACACTGCCGTAGCCGGCGAGAGCAGAGAGGCCCATATCGCAGTGTGTGTTTCCCTTGAGGCTGCCGTGTGCGGTGTGTCCTTCCGGTGACGGCAAGTTTCGACGCTGGGGTGTTTGCTCGAGCGACTTGTTGCCACCATTTCGCTGTCTGCGGGGTACAACAGCGAGTTACACTGATTTAGAGTTAACGGTTGTGGAGACAAAGGAAACGAGTGGGCAGGGAACGGCGCGGGCCGGGGGGGGGGGGGGGGGGGGGGGGGGACGCGG